GAACAGCTCATGATTTGGAGTCTCTTTATTATGAGACTGCTTTCCGGACGCACCTCAAAGAATGCATGAGTTTAAAAAGGGGTCTTTTTAAATGAAGCCTCTTAAGTTTGGCAAGGAGAAATGTCAGTGCTTAGATGCATTATTCTTTTCTGAAATACTGCCCAGTCTCTGCAGATGATTGCACTAACACGGGCACAGAAGTCTTCCTATTGCTAATTATTGTGATATTATTTTCTGGTAAGCAGAGATGCTAGACTTGTGATAACCGGCATGTAATAATAACTGTCTTCCTCACACAACTTTCGAGTATGCTCATCGCCTGCCTTCAGTACATTATTCACAGTCTACACTACTGGGATAGATCCACCTTATAATATAATGGGCAGATTTCTGCCTACTCAGTTATTTCCAGTCACATTCCCTTTAAATCTTGAACAATCAAAAGCAATGCTGGCTACTAATCAGTTTTGATATTACCCTGTTTAAAATGTCCACACCTCATATATGGAATGGTTTTGGATTATGGATACTTGAAAGTTTCAGCTACAATTACATACAAAGACCAGAATCCTTCATCCAAAGTTTCATTTCCCCCTCTGCCTCCCCAGCCCAACCAGAAAGAATGCAACAAACTGAAAATTTGCACTTTATACTGCTTCAGTCTATATACTCATAATACACTCATTTTTGCATGGTACATTAGTAAACATGCTGGGGACAATTTTTGAGACAAAAGCCACATAGACTTGGAGCACAAAATCTCAGCCATCATCATTACCCTTCAATATGAGACACAAACTTGCATCCCAGGTCCAAATTCTGCTGTTAGAGGGTTCAGCTATACAGAGCAGAAGAAACCATTTTTTGCTGGGAATGTTATAAATACACAAATCTGTGTTCTGCAGACTGAAGTTGCAGTTTGATCTCATTACACTGTCTAGATGACTACTGTCCCTCTGTCTAGTTAAATATATACCTGAATTCCCTTGTCAGATGCAAGATTGCAGCTCACATTGAAACATCCTACAACAGAGCTGCATGCGGAGCTCTTTCCATGGCTGAACCGAACATCTGAAAACCTGTTTCTATGAAGTCAAGAGAAAGCATTTTGTTTTTATCTGAAATTAAATGTTTCAAGATGACTAATCGCTTTTCTCTCTTAAAGAATTGATTAATTTCAACATGAAAACACCATCTTGAAGTGAAAATGCACAACATTTTGTTTTGGTAAATTCAAAGTAGAACTTGTTTAGAAGGATTTTGACTTTTCCTAGAAACAGCTTCCACTTTTTAGTGAAATTATTTTCTAGTGAAACAGAACAGTTTGGGGGTCACTAATATGTCATTGGTTTTTTGAATTGTAGTATGTTTCAAAAAATTCACCCAGCTGTAATTTGTGAAGTCTACAAATATCCAAGGGCAGATTTTCTCTCCTGCCTTTGTAGTTCTTATTACATTGTCAAACAATAATGATGCACATTATCGTATAGAATATGTTAATTTAAATTTGCAAAAATAAAGAGTACGCTTCAGAACCGGTGGCTTCTGCTAGACCAATCTGCTTCCTAATATCTGTAATGACAAAAAATACAACTTGCAATAGCAATTAAAGCAATTTTGCTCCCATTTTCAGAAATGACCTATGAAATTCAGAAGCCAAACTTTCAGTGAGAAGAAATGGGACGTAGGACTGTAGTGGTAACAATCTTGGGTTACAACATATTTTTTTAAAATATTTAGAGATATAGGCATCTAAATCTCACAGGAAATTAACGAGCCTTCTGAATCTGGTGAACTGGAAGGTTGAATTGTGTTATGATTCAAGAAATCCCAGAGCCAAGTGGGAACGGAGGTAAGTCCATGCAGACTTTGCTGGAGTACAAGGTGCAAGGATCAGCGGAAAAGAGGAACAGACATTATTAAAAGTGTAAGAGACAATAGCATGAACTATAAAAGAAAAGAAGAAAACATTAGAACCAGTGCTTTTTAATCCTTTCGTAAATCTAGTCAACACGCCCCGCTGAACTCTTAAAATCAAGGAGATTTTGCAAATTGGACTTTTAAGGAAGAAAAGCATCTTTTTACTTTTTGGCTAAGTAAGTCCACGCCAGTGTCATCAAAAGTCAGTAAATGGGACAGGAAACTTACTTCCTTCTCCAGTTTTTCATTTATTTATTTCATGATAGAACACTTCTGAAAAGAATTTCACTATAAATCTTGGAAAAGTATTTTTAGCATGCATTTGATATTAATTTACTATTACTGTGTGCCTGCTAGCAATAGCAAGATTCTGTAGCTTCAGCTGGATTTTATGTTGCTTATATAAATAACCAAGCAATTACAAATGGCATATTGAGGTTTGGCAGATTTGCAACATTCAGACAGATATGTATCTCTGTCATATATTCGAATCACCAGCTCTTTCAACAAATACACATTGTTTCATTAAGTTGCATTTTAAATCTACAATCTTACTGCTTATGTAGAAGGGGAAATTTGGTTAATTCCACAGAATTCAGAAGAGCAGTTTCATTTTCTTTTGCATATCAGCTTTTCTCTCTGAAGTTTTCTCTACTACATAATACTTAGGATGACTGTAAAGCATACCAAGAATATTTGTTCTAACATTAGGCAAACAGCAAAGAAAGGTCTATTGCTATTACAACTATCTGAAAGATATTACGGGTCTGAGTCTGCCATGATTTTTTTGTGACAAGGGATATACAAGTTGCCCCAGCGTTGGCACCCAGTGGAGGGATGGGACGGCTGGAATGACTGCTCTAAGATAGTAGGACATTTCTTTAGGAGTACTTCTAAAGGCCTATTGACAATATGTTCCCAATCCCTTTGCCATTTAGCTAATGGTAAACAACGATAAGAAGAAACTCCAGGTCATTTTTGCCTGCAGGAGAGGAACTGTAGCATTTTGCAGTTCACTGAGAGCCAGTAGGAAAAGTGGTTTCAAGGCACAGCCTTTGGCTTTATACTTACAGACATAAGACAGTAAGCGTTCAAGCCGTGGATGCAGATTTCTGTGTGATTTTAAAGTGCTTCTAACCCCAAAGGCTGCCTCTGAAATGGAGGTTTGTGAACACTTTACGTTCATGACTATAATATTTATCACACCCTGTAATTAATCTAATTAAAATATTTTATGTTTTAATTTCTTCACTGTGAAAGTCATTGTTTTGCTGCAGCAATAAAGAGAGAGCACGAATCCTGGGCAGAAAAAGATGGATTAAATAGTCCCGTTCTTTGCATGAAAATCTCATGACAGTTGTCAGCCTGAGAATTCAAAAGCAAAAGTACCTCACCACAAGCTTCAGAAATAACGCACAATAATTTACACCTCCCTCCAAGTAGAATAAAGGTATATTACCTGACACCTGCCTTTATACAAATCCCCTGAGTGCCTTCACAATAGTGTTCTCTTTTTCTTTCTCTCTCAAACTTGTTTCAGAGGGAGAAGTCTGAGGAGGAGAGGGGGAAATGACAGCAACTCCTCCCCTGTCTTCGAAACGAGATGCAAAGGCTTTTTCAAAGCAAGAGAGGAAAAGGCTTGCCCCCAGAAGCTTTGTGAACTGAAGAAACACATTATAAGCTGAGCAATGACAGAAAGAAACAAGCAGCACTGCATGGCGCTGGTAATTTGTGACAAGTGTTCAATGCCTGGATCATTCAAATTTTGTATCCCCTGTCTCTGTGCTTCTACTGTCATAAGGGACATAGGGAAGGACATATATACATCAGCATCTGCCTGTATGGAGTAAGCAAAGAGAAATCCAATTTTCAAATATTCTGTTTTCACACTGCCTTTGAAATAAAGGATGAGGTTTTCAGAACAGGGTTTGCAGCTGGGGCCTCAAGCATTTTGAAAAACTGGCCAGCAGTGTCATAGGAGGATTTTAAAGGGAGGAGAAGAGGATGAGGAGACAGGGAGAGGGAAGCAAAAGGTTTTAAGCTCATACAAACCAGGTAGAAGAAAAACAGGTTGTGCTTTCAGTGCAGGCTCTCTAGCTTAGGAAGTTCACAGCAGAACTTGTCCTGGTTAAATCACAGAGTGGAGCAAATGCTGTTACCATAAGGGACCTCCGTGACAGGAGCTTTTGCTTGGCCTAGACAAATATACACTCCGTAATAACCACTGGTGTAACTGAAGCCAACTGCCTCTCCCTGCCTCGCAGTCTCAGCAAGCTGGGCTTAAGCCTGGGCATGCAAACGGCTCCCTCAGCCCAGAGCTGGGTCCATCTGCCAGCATAAGGGTCGCTGGCAGGAGGCCGCCCCATGACGAAGCCACATTTCTACAGGGCTGCTCTGCAGAGGTACGGCAGACTCCTCTTGTTGGAGCTGCAAATCCAGCACCTTAAATGCACTGCCTTATCATCACACACTACTGCTGCGCTGGCTGCGCCCAGAGAGATGCCAAGTGATGCTCTAGAAATGACAGAAAGCGTGCCCGCTGCAGGAAATAAACTCTTCCTTAGTCCCACAGCCAGCCAGGCGCAAGCACGTGAATGATGGCGCTCCTGGCACTAGCCGGAGAGCGAGCCAAGACCGACGAGCAGGACAGAGCAGGCACCGAGAAGGTCCCGCTGCTACAAACATGGCAGAAGCATACAACAAACTCAAAAAATACAATCTCCTCCATCACTACGGATGGGAAGCAAAATTAAGGAGCGAGATATGAGGCAGTGCAAGATGGCGAGGGCACGTGCACACACCTGCGTAGGCAGGCAGGTGTGTCCGTGTGCTGGGAGGCATGGCGGGGGGCCGGGGTAAAAGGCAGGGGGTT